CCCCCCCCCCCCCCCCCGAGGCCCTGCAGTGGCCAAGGCCATCCTGAAGACAGTCACCTGGCATGGTCTCTCGGCTGGAGACTGCAGGGGCTTAGCCGGGCAGCGGGGGAGCCCAGGTGGGCTCTGCTCCTGCTGCGTGGGGCTGCGTGCTCTCTGAGCCCCATTCTTCTGTCTACAGAAGTGGTGTGGGCTGCTGCACGGAGGTTCTGAGCCATGGAGTCGGATCGCTGGAGAGGATATGCCCCTGTTCAGATGTCACCTTGTCAGAGGGCTTCTGGGCCACTGAGACACAGTGAGGCAGCCCCCGCGTCCCTCCATGGTCCACCCCTGTCGGGGGAGGGTAAAAAGCTCCTGTGCTCAGCCCAGGCTCACTGTCAGCAAACACCTGCCAGACGAGTGTGGGGCATTCCAGGACGTGGGGACGCAAGACAGGTCCCCGATGGGGTTGGCCGGGAGCACGTGCAGAGTGGGTGGCAGGCCCCAGAGCAGGTCACAGAGAGCCCTGTGGCCTGGGTGAGGTGTTGCCACCATTGAGCACCGTGCAGCTGCCTTGTTCCCCTGGACATGCCCACAGTGAGGGGGATGGGGTCCTCCCCTCTGGCCATAGGTCCCCTCAGCCCATCAGGCCATGGAACCTCCACTCCAGGCAACCCTGCTGCCCAGTACAGAGGGTGGCCTATGTGGGCCAGGGTGCCTGGCAGTAGACTCCGACCAGGATGCAACAAATGGAGGGAGATGCCCCAGGCCTCGTAATGGCCGTCTCTGCATGGCGCCCACCTGGAGAACTGGGATGCCGCCAGGATCCCTGATGTCCAGCCACTTGCACATGGAACTGTGCTCAGCACCCTCACCCTGTTTGCCCAGGCTGGCCTGGGGCCCACCGTCAGTCGTGGGGTGCAGGTGTGGCAGTCACATGAGTGGCAAGGACAGGTGCAGAAAGCCGATTTGGCATATGTGCATGGGGGCTAGCCCACTCGGGCATCGGGGCCGCAGCCCACCCAGCAAATGGAAGGGTGCCCGTGCACTCCTCGCTGGCCACCAGCCCCTACCGTTGTCTTCCTCGTAGGTGGGTGTGCCTCTCTTCTTGGCCACACCACGGGCCTCTGCTCTTTAGCACTTGTCACACTGGCTGTACCTGCTGTTCACTTACCTCCCTCCTCACAGCCCAGGGCCTCCTGAAGGTGACAGGGGCTGGAGCGCTGAGCTCCCTGGGAAACCTGGTACTGGAGAGTGCCCCTCCCCACTGCCCTGAGAGCGAGATTGTCCTATGGCTAGTCACGTCCAATCTGCTTCAGGGCTGGAAGGACTTCCGGAGATCAGCCCTCCTGCATTCACTCATCCATTTGCTCACTAGATCGGCACCCCGCCCTGAGCTGGTGCGTGCGTTCATTCACCCCAAAGGGAGATGGCAGGAGAGACCTGGCTGTCTGGGAAGGTGACACTGAGAGCAAGGGCAGTTAGCAGCAGAGACCTCAGTGTCCTGGGCAGAGGAGTGGCCCTGGGAGACCTGCAGGCAGGGGTGAGTACCCGGAGGGTGAGGACACCAAAGGCGGAGTGTAGCCTGGCCGCCTAGGAGGCCCAAAGCACGCAGCCTGGTCACAGTGAGATCAAGCCGACTCCCGGTGAGGGCTCAGGGTGGAAGACACACAGGAGCTCCAGTGCTGGGGGTGGGGACGCCCGGTCTGGTAAGTGGATAGCAATGGAGGGTGTGGCCAGGGGGAGACAGGAAAGGGAGGCGCAGAAGCCGCTCTCCCCGGGGACTGGCAGAGTCTGGACCGCTGACCTTGGTGGTGACGGGTAAACGGCTCCCTGCCTCCTTCTGCTCTGTCCCCGGAAAGTGGGGGTGCCGCAGGGCCGGCCTAAAACCTGAGCGCAGACGCCCTGCCCTGAGGGCCCCAGGGCCAGGAGTGGCCATGCCGGCCTTTGCCAGGCAGAGTGTCTCAGTTGACCCCAAATTTGGATTTGTAGCCGCCAAGCCAGGCAGGACAGGGGCGCCTGCTCAGACCCCTCCATCGCTGACAACTCCAGGGTGGAGAACTTCCACACTCTGGAGGGCGAGCTGGGGAGGGCCTCCCACTGCCTGGCAGACAGAGTGGCTCTCTCTGGCCTCCTGTCTGATGGAGAAACAAAGCCAGTCCACGTGGGAGGACGGGCTCAGCGACCTTCCAGAATCCCAAGTGCACCTGCAGGTCTCTGTCCGCCAGTCCCCGGGGAGTGGGAGGCAGGGGGGAAGAGGTTCTGCTCAGCAATGCCTCATCTCCTATCCCACTGCGGAACGTCCGCCCTCAGGGGAAGCGAAACACCCCTCCACTGCAAGATCAGGTGGGTGGGCCTTCCCCACGGGCATGAGTTATTTTATTCAGGTCATCCCTTGCATAGTCTTGGCTGAGCTGAGCCAGACGGGTCTGACTAGAGGGAGCAGGAGTTCAGGGAGGAGCCTCAAGGGGGCGTACCCCTGAGTGGGAGCTGCTGGGAGGGCTGGGGGGCCTGGAGGGGCCAGGGCTGGGTAGGGAGAGGTAAGCTGCAGCTTCGCGGGCACCCAGTGTCCCTCCGAGCTTGGGGGGACCTGGCACCCTGGACTGCAGATGCCCGGCACAGGACAGCAGGGGTCAGGACCTCCCCAGAGAGCTCGTAGTGACTACTACTCTGGCTGGGACATCAGTGAGGGTGCTCCGCTCTGGACATGGTGGAGACCTGTGCCTAGGCAGTGTGACCGGCCGTGGGTCTCCTGCCTCGCCAGGCCCTGGCAACTGAGGCCACCCCTCAGGTTCAGGCCTGGCTGAGAACGGATCTCTGGCTGCTCTGCTGTCCACACTCCTCCCACCTTGCCGCATCCGGACAGGGCATCAGAGCAGTTCGGGGGCCTCGGTCTGCTTGTTAAAGGGGAAGGGATGAGCCATCTGGATGTCTAGACACACTGAGACCCAGCAGTCCTCACCAGCAGCCTGGGCCTCCCTTGGACGGTTTATAAACAGGGACTGGAGGGAAGGCTCTGCTGAAGGGCCTCATTCATGGGAAAATGGAATTAAAGCATGAGTTTACTTCGGCGCAAAAAAATTGAAAACGCACACATAGTTTTTCCACGATACACATTTTCCGTGAACTTTGGAAGACTCTCTGGTAACTGAGGCCAAAATCCTGTCCGGGTCCTCCTGAAAGAGGAAGCGAGGAACAGCAGGCGTTCCCCAGGGAGGTTACAGTTTAAGCCACAAGATGATGTAAGGGTCTGTGCTGTGCCGAGAGA